TACTATGAAAAAGAGAAACTTCGAAAATCTGCTCAGGCCTTAGATCTTCTTGGAGCTTCAGAAAGCATGATTCGACAAAATTTGGGGGTTGATTATGGTAGTAGAAGTCTGTTATACTCATGGACGTCCTTTACCTTTTAAATAGTTTTTCTGTGTAGGAAAACCCCCCTTTAAAAATCTACCTCCTAAGTATAGAAGTCAGAAATAAGATGCCCAGCATTCCTTGCAACTTATTTACAGGCAAGATTCTTCACCTGTGAGACTTCCATGTGGAAATGAACAATATAAGTGAGGTAGAAATCATTCCAAGTTCACCAGTATCTCTGGTTCTTACTCCTTCAGAGCACCAGGAAGATGGTACTTCCTGTGTCCCTTGATATTAGGTATGACCACAAGATTTGTTTTGATCAATGCAATGTGGGCAAAATCCAGTGTAAGCTTTTCTTCACTCCTTTCTCCTGCCACAGCAAACCATGAAACTAATGTCAAGAAGAAAACATCATCATAAGATGGTGGAGCCTCCAACAGCTTGTATCCTTCAGCAACCAAGTGAGCAAAACTAACAACCTACCCCCACCTGCTGAACTACTGAATGAGCTAGAAATAGATCTTTGTTGTTTGAATCCAGTAAGATTTGGGGGGTTGTTTGTTATGACTGTGCTACCTCGTGAATCCTGATTGGTATATAGGTAAGAAGCAGGTTGGACACCAGCTTCAATCTCTGCTGTTGCTGATAGTAACACAAGTGTCCAGCTTTGTGGGTGATAGTGGCAACAGTGATGGTCTTCCAGTGGCTGCAATAATGAGTTCCTACCACAGAGGTGTCATAGAGCTTGTAAAATTGGCAGTCAAATTGAACTCTTAGTACTCAGTATTCAGAATAGCAATGGCTGTGATTTCCTCCTCAGATTGTATAGTGTAGTTTGGGTGTTATTCCTAGAAGCTAGCCTCAAGTCTATTTCCCTAGCCCTCCTAACAATTCTGAGTTAAATAATCTCGTTTAACAAATCCCTTTTCTGCTTCAACTATCCACAGAAGATTCTATTATTTGTGAAAAAGGACCCTGACTGACAAAATAACTATACTTAATAAATCTCAGATTCCATCAATTACAAGAGGCAAGTTATTTTGTGAACTCACAAGAAAAAAAGAGGCTAAAAAACTATTACATGCCATTAGTTGAAAAGCACATTTTTTCAGAGTTATTTAAGCTGAAAAAAAGTCCTTTAGAATCAGTAAAATATGTTATTAGCAAATAAAATCCCCAAAATAAAATTGATAGGCAGCTGATTAGGGTTTTAAGAGAACTGTTATCATGAACCAGGCTGTGGGTTGCATCTACAGCACAAATACACAAACAAAAACCCCACAAAGAATTGTATCATCTAGGGAGAAAAAAAAAAGTCTCAACCCTAATCCTCATCAATGCAGAAATCTATGATTGCTCAATCCCAGAACAAACCCTAAATTACCCGCAAAAGTGTGATGTTAATCAGTACAGTGCCCCCACAAAAAACTCTTCCGCCATGGTCCTCTCAGAACTCTGGATAAGGGATCTCTTCAAGGTGGGCAAAACCTGAGGCAGCCAGATTGACTGATGACACAGCCAAAGATTTGAAGTTAACAGATACATGAGGTTTTCTAGTGCTATCATTTTCATTATTATCCATGATAATGCTTTGGATTAGTGACCAATACACAGTGTTTCCTTTTTACTCCATTTTATTCTCTATTTCTCCCATTTCTAAACATCAGGACTTTTTGTGTGTATGTGTGTGGTGGTAAGGGATTGGTTTAAAGTTATCCTTCAACGACCAAGTGAGCAAAACTAACAACCTACCCCCACCTGCTGAACTATTGAATGAGCAAGAAATATATCTTTGTTGTTTGAATCCAGTAAGATTTGGGGCGTTGTTTGTAATGACTGTGCTACCTCATGAATCCTGATTGATATATAGGTAAGAAGCAGGTTGGGCACCAGCTTCAATCTCTGACAGTTAAAAGGTATTGGGATTATTAGAAGCCATAGTTACAACTCATGAAGACCAAACTGGCAGGCCATTACCCAGATAACCTGTTTTTAAAGAACAATGGTCCTACAATAGAACCTCCTTGAAGCAGTAGCTGGATGTGTCACTGAGTTGCCCCTCATTGGAAACAGGGTGAATTTATTGGCATACATACAGGGGGATGGTTAGATTATGTAGATGTGTTAGTCAGCTTTCCATTACTGTAACAAATACCTGAGATAATTAACTTATAAAGAGAAAAGCTTTGTTTTGGCTCACAGTTTTGGAGCTTTCAGTCCATGATCTGTTGGCCTGGTTGCTTTTGGTCCTGTGATGAGGCAAGCACAATTGGCAGGCAGTGCATGGTAAAGCAAAGCCACTCACTTCAGGGCCAGGATGAGAGAAAGAAGAAGAAACCAGAGTCCACAATTCCTTTCACAGGCATGCCCCAACTCCCTACAGCACCAAGCTGGGGACCAAATCTTTAATATATGAGACGTATGAGAGGACCTTCAATACATGAGAGGACATTCCAGATTTAATCTATAACAACAATAGTTGGGGACATTTTTGGAATCATATATATAGAAAATGATGTGTATGTGTTGGGCAAACAAAGGCTGGACCCTAGTGAACACCTGCCATTTTGCTTATTCATGATCCCTCTTCTCCTGGAATCCACCCCACCCCCACTGTCCACAGGGTTATCATGAGAGCTATGTAAGTCATTTGGTTATCATCCCCTGATTGGTCCAAAGTTAAATATCTAACTAACATGAGCCTATCATAGTACTTTGAGGAATTTGTAAACTACATCCAAAAATAAGCAGCAGTAGCAGATACCACTACCACCAGTCTCCAAAACTGAACTCATCAACACCTCCCCTACCCCCGCCAAGTCCCTTGCTGAAATTCACTGCTTCTTCTTCACAGTAAATGGCATTCCAGTATCTGCAGCCACTAACCAGAGTTATCTAGGACTTTTCCTTCCCTCTTTCCTCCCTTACTCTCTAAGTCTCTTAAGTTCTGCCATCTATAGTTCCCAAATATCTTTAATGTTCTCGTGACCTCTTCACTTCTATTCCCATCATTTCAGCCCCTCATTTTTACTCCTTGCCTTCACCCTCAAAGGCTTTTGACACCCCTTTCCATCCAGCAGCTCAAATCATCTTTCTAATTTCTGGATATGATCACATTACTCTTCTGCTCAAAATTCTTCAGTGGTTTCCCATGGTTTTCAGGATAAAATGTGAACTCCTGCAGCTGGGTCACTAACTTCACTCACATTACACTCAGATGTACAATGATATGTCTCCTCTCTCCCCTGTAACTGATCTGATCTTCCTCACAATGCTCTTACCCTGCTGGGTAACAGGGGAGAAAACTAAAATTAATCCATTCTGGTAAACTCCATAGGGTCCAAAATTTATTTTAGACAGTCTTTAGCTCAGTAGCATTGAATGGCTCAGTATTTCACTATTTTGTTCTTCCCTTTCTCCTCTTCAGGACAGTACCTGAATTTGTTGGGGTCTTATGTGAATTTCATGGCACTGGAGAAAGGGAGCTTTTAGCCACCTGGTTGTTGGGGGTTACATCAGCTGACATTTGCTGAGAAGTGGCTGGTTCGGTATAAATTAATTAGTGAAAAACAACCCCGAGAGGTAGCTACCACTATAACCATTTTATAGACAAGGAAGCTGAGGTTAAGGAACTTGTCCAAGGTCACAAAGTTAGTAAGTGGCAGAACCAGGGATTAACAGCACCTGATTCCAGTAGATACTTGTTTATGAGTTTAGAATTCCAGATATAGCTTCAGGGATGTGATTGCCCACGAAGAATATGTGAGATGAGAAGAGAGCCCAGATCAGAACACTTAAGAATCACCGAGGTAGGAGAGGGAGCTCAATAGTAGAGTATATGCCCCCAGCACCAGCACCAAAAATAATAACCTCTGGCATGTGAGGAACTGGGAGAAGAAGGTCTCCCTAGCTGCTTCGTCCAAGTTATCTTCCCTCTTAAGAGACCTTCTAAGATGGAGAGTCAGGACTTCCACCAGGCCTGAAAGTATTCCAGCCAGGACAAAGCAATTCTTTAGGTACTCCCCTCCCCTCTGTCCTAGATTCCCTCACAGCACAGCAAAGTATAAGCCTGAGACCAACCCTGGCTGGGAACTCAGTAAATGCATCCAAAGAACCTGTGTTGCCAGAGATCTTCACATCACCTCCTAGGACCACCAAATGCAGGGCCAAGTACAAATACTCTATACTGAGGATGCAGGGTCCACACTCGGGCGGGAGTATGGGTAGTATCATAGTGGGCCTCCTAGATCACTGTCCTCCCAGGTGTGGAGACATAGGGCCTTCTGGATGACAGGGTCAGACTTCTCCCCAGTGGTTGGTGGGGCACGTCTCCTCTGGTGTAGGGCATGTAGAGGCCTTGGCCTTTCTCAGATGTTGCTCTTCCAGATGTGGAAGGTGCAAGAAATCCCTGCTAGAAGGTGGACCACGCCCCGACCCTACACCCTCTCCAGGCCAGATCAAGACCAAGCAGCCCATTCAGCCCTCCTGCCGCCTCCCGCCCCTCCCGCCTGCACCAGGGGCGGTCCTGTCCCACCCTAGCGCACGACCAATGGCGCTGGAACTTGGTGAAGCCAGCCAATTGAACGTCGGCAGCGGAGTGGAGATGATTCCGCCCCCGGCGGGCTGCCGACAGCCGGCCACCCAGGAGGCGGGGTCCTTCGCTGTTTTTGCTGCCGGCCGAGCTCGGCCGAGCTTAGCCGACTTCAGCCGGCCGAAACCGAGCCCAGACGAACACAGCCGAGCCCAGCCGAACTCCGCGCAGCTCCCGCTGCCGCCGCCCGAGCGCCGCCGAGCGAGCAAGCTAGCGGCCGGGGCCGCGGAGGAGGCGCCGCCCCAGGGGGAGGAGGTGCCGGCTCGCCGCAGACAGCCCGCGGCAGAGGCCGCCCCGGTCGCGCCGCGGCGGGAGCGGCCGGCGGAGGCTGCGCGGCCAAGGGGGAGGGCCGGGGGAGTGGACGTCGTCCCTGCCAGCCGCCCGCCGCCCCCCGCCCGCAGGCTCCCGAGCCTCAATCTGCGCTGAGCATCCCGCTGCCCCGGACTCTCCCGCGGGCGCGCACCGGGCTCAACTCAGGTAAGGGGGGCTCCCCCGCAGCGGGCACCGGGGCAGAGAACCGAGACTGAGAGGAAGAGACACAGCCCCTAGGAGAGACACAGACACAAAGAGAGACACACGGGAGACGCAGACCACCAAGACAGATCCCACGAAGAAGGGAAAGAGACACGTTCACGAGGACAGAGGGATACAGCCGGGAAGAGAGAGTGGCACACACAGGGACTGATAGAGAGATACTCAGAAACAGATTGGGAGAGAAACGAGACACTCAGACATTCAGAGATGGGGACACACCGATGTGAAGAGAGCTACCCAGAGACAGGCAGCCACACACAATCCCAGATATAGGTATGCAGAGGAGAGACACCTATCTAGCAGGAGAACTGTAGGAAAACCACACACCTGACATAAAGAGACAAGTCCCATGGAGAGGCACACCTAGGTACAAAACCTTGGAGACACAGAACCCACACATGCCTGCCAGGGCCTCCACAAAGTTCCCTCTGTGTGAGCTGGCGCCTCTGCAGGTCTCCTGGGCTGGCCGGCTGCAGTCTTGAGAGGAGGTGCCCTGACCACACTAAAGCTGGTCACAGTCCCCTTCATTCTGGGCCTAGGACTCTTAGTCCCATCCACTGGTGGGATACCTTTGAGGGCTGGAAGCTTGGTGGGAAGGGCCAGTCAGTGTCTACCACCTCTTAGAATGAGGTATGCCTACTCCAGCTTCCCCACTCTGGCTACACTAGCATCCAGGTGCCCAGAGCCAGGCCTGAGGATGGGGGTGTTGGCTCTGTGAGGTCTTTGAGCCTTGTGGGACCCAAGGTTTTCTGCCAGGGAGGTCAGAGATGTGGGAGGGGAGCTCTTGGCCTGGGCCTCTCCCACCTCTCCTTCCTCATCACCCTCTTATTTGCTCTATGCCCCCAGGCTCAGGACTGCAGGTGGGCATCTCCACTGCCCAGGAATCACTGAGGGAGCCTCCTTGGAAAGCGGCCGTATTGGAGTTCCTCCTCGGCATGGGCCTTGCCATTGAGGCAGCTCCGCTGTCTGTACTGATTTGAGGGTACTGCCCGTCATGGGGGCAGCCATCTCCCAGGGGGCCCTCATCGCCATCGTCTGCAACGGCCTCGTAGGCTTCTTGCTGCTGCTGCTTTGGGTCATTCTCTGCTGGGCCTGCCACTCTCGTTCTGCCGACGTTGATTCTCTTTCTGAATCTAGTCCTAATTCCAGCCCTGGCCCCTGTCCTGAGAAGGCACCACCACCCCAGAAGCCTAGCCATGAAGGCAGCTACCTGCTGCAGCCCTGAAGGCCCTTGACCTACCCTGGAGCCTGGGACCTAAGTCTACCCCACTCAGATCCTGGAATCAGGATTCCAGAGTTCAGCCAGCCTGGGGTCCAGAACTTGGAGTTAAGCTTGTTTACAGCTGGACCCAGAAGCCCAGAGTCTAGCCAGCCTGGCTCCAAGAGAGGCTCTGGTGGCCCTAGAGAGACAGGCCTGGGGTGGGGGTTCAGGTGTTGGTGCTAGGGCCAGGGCCATCTGAACTCTGCTCCATCCCAAGGGCCAAGGGCTGGATTTACCCTTTCACTAGGCTCAGCACCTTTGGGCCCTCTAGGTTGGGAAAGCAAATTGGAACCCATGGCAATAATGGGAGGGTGTCCAGGGTGGGCTCCTCCCCTGGTCCTCCCACTGTTTGCTGGATAATAAATGGAACTATGGCTCTACTTTGAGATTCTTCTCTTCCTGGGGGCCCTGTGGTAGCAAAATTAAAGGCATGGGATGAACTTCCAGACAGATTTATTTTTGCACAGTAAGAGGAGGGTCATGGTGGTTAAGGGTCAAATCCTGAAGTAATGTGCTAGGACCTTCAGAAGCAGAATGAGAACGGCAAATACTGAGACCCGATCAGGGGCAGAATCATATATGCTGGGTGCATAGGCACCCTGGTACCCAGCCCAAGGATTGCAAGAAATGGGTCAGGGATTGAGACTAGGCCCTTAGGTTTTCACTTCTCTCACCAGGTTCAGCAGTTTATCCAATTTTGCGATCTCCACAGCTGGACCCTTCTGCACTTCCTGGCCCTTCTTTTCCTGGGGAAAGGGGATACATCCATGTGGGAAGAATGGTGAGAAATGAGTTGTCTCTCTCTGGGTGACTCCTTTGTCCAACCTGCCGCAGCAATGCCCTACTCCTCCTCTGCCCAGTAAATTCTAGATTTCCACTGTCCCCAACTCCCACATGAGCCTTCCCCGACTCAGGTTAAGTGACCCATAGGCCCAGCTGAGGGCCTATAAGAAGGCATTGGTTCTGACTCTGAATCTCAGCTAGAATTCTCTTGAGTTTGAAGCTGGCAGAAATGGGAGAAAGACCAAGGAGATCTTTAACTCCAGGGAGGAGGTTCTGACTGTTGGAACCACACTTTCCACAGGAAAGACAAACCTTTTAAGGATATAATAGTTATGTGTTGGGCTGGGGATGTGGCTTAAGTGGTAGCATGCTTGCCTGGCATGCGCGGGGTGCTGGGTTCGATCCTCGGCACCACATACAAATAAAATAAAGATGTTGTATCCACCGAAAACTAAAAAAATAAATAAAAAATAGGTATGGGTTTAGTAGGGAGAGGGAAGAGGACAAGCCCACAGGTGTCCTCATCTAATGCGCTAAGTCAATACTTTTAGGTCTGGTTGAGGGTAGGGTGTCATTTGGAGCCAGACCTACTGTGTCAGATATACCCAGGGTGGGAGAGAGTTATCAGGAGACCCTGAGGGCAGGTGGCATATCCCATGTGACTCCAGATGTCATTGACTGGGACTGTCCCTCAAAAGAGAAGATCCTGAGCTTATGACTGTTGTCGTCCCCTTCCTGCACCCCCCACAGAGCACATAATGCTTCCAATGGTAAGTTGGGCCCTGAGAAAAAGGGAGTTGGGACATTGGGGTATGTGTTGCTTGAAGACCCCAAGAACTCTTTGGCAGATCATACCAGTTACATTTTCCCTACTTTCCAGACAGTGGGATGTGGGCTATGCTGGGGCAGGCTGGGCAGCTGCCATTTCCTGCCTTCCCTCTGTTCCTGGACCCCTACCCTCTTAGCCACCTGTGCCACTACTCACTGGCACATGTCCCAGCTTTGCCTGCTGAGGCCCAACCTGGATGTGGCCTGGGCTTTAAGGTAGGAGTAGAGTATAGGGCCAGTAGGCCCCTTACTTGGCCCATCCCTGCTGCTGACACCACGCAGAGCTCAAATTTCCTCTTGGTTTGACCCTTGCAGCTGTTCCCAAATCTGTCTCCCCAGCCCCTTACAGCCTGATGCCTTTGCCATTACCCACCTCACCTCTATACTCTTGAGGCAGGCGACAAAGAAATCTCTCTTCCTACTCTCCCTCCCAAATTAAGTTCTTGTTCTCTTCTTGGCCTCACCCCATCCCCTGGGATTTAGGGAACCTGGTTTTTTATTCCAATTCTGTCATTAACACCCTTTATGACTTTGGGCAAGTCCCTTGCTTTTCTGGCCTTCAGTTTACCATCTATACAGTAGTTGAGGTAAGATAGTCCTTGACCTCTGACAGCAATCACAGGAAGCTCCCTGTGCAGAGAAGCCTGAGCTTCTGTGGTAAAGACCTCTTGGGAAGGGTAGAGAGTCTGCATTTCACAGTGGAGGGGCAGTAAGGATGCCCACAGGACTTCCTTTTGTATAAATCTCTTGACTGCTGATAGGATCACAGGAATCTCTAACTCAACCAATACCAGCACCCACTGTCCCCTGCTCAGGTCCTCAGAGATGAGTTTCCAAATACACAGATCCCAGCTCTCACAATCATGACTGATCCTTATTCTGTGGGAAATTGGAACTGTGGGAGATTCTTGCCTCCCCGGATCAGAGCAGGTAGAGCATATCTACCTGTGCGAGATTCTTGCCTCCCCAGATCAGAGCATATCTACCATTCTCATGGTGTCATTGCTGTGCTTCTCCCCCAAAGGGTGACCATCATTCTCCCAGAGGGCTGTCCAGCTCTGCCAGCTTAAACCTTCCCCTCTCTCCTCATTAAATTAAGAACAGATTGTGTCTGTTCCACAAATTGTGCTGCCTTCTTCCCTCCTTCCCCCTGCCGAGGCCAACTAGCTGGGCTCAACAAAGAGATTCAGACCACGCCCGACTCCCCCCACCCCCAAAAGCCCACCACAGCCTCTGGGCCACAGCTGCAGGCGCTTAGCAGCCTTCAGAGTATTTATAGCCAAGTCCACCCCCTCCCCCAGCTGGCTACAATTACAGGCCAGGCCACACTCAGCCCTTGCCTCCCTGGCCATGGTGGGGAATAGACCAAGCCAGTGCCAGAGGGATGGTACAGTGGACCCTGTCTGGGTAGAGGCAGAGGGAAGAAGTCCAGTGGCTGAGAGTCTCTGCTTCTGCCTCAAACTGCAGTAAAGGCCTCAGGTTGCAACCAACAGGTACATTAATCAGGGCAACTTGATTCAACCCTAACTCTAGCCCAGAACCTGGAAGAAAGCAAAGAGCCATCTCCACTCTGTACATGAATGGGCAGGACTGGGCTCTGGGTTCTTGGGCTCTGAATTTTTAAGTTGGGTCCTAGGGCTCTGGACTTTAAGGCCTGGGGCAAAAGTCTGGGTTCTTAAGCCTAAATTTGGACTCAGTTTAGACTTTTAGGTCATGGCTCTGGGCCCCATGGCCTATATTTGTGGCTCTTGGGTTCTGGGCAGTGGCTCCTGACCATTAGAGACCCCAGAAAAAGAAACCAGAGCTAAAAAGGAGGACTGCATAGCTGCTGACCTAGTTACCCTCCTCCTGGCTCATTTCCTCCTTCCCTGTTTAGACCCACAGCTTCCAGCTGAGGGACACTGGAGCTGAAGCTCTGTGTAAGCCCAGCTATGAAGCACTGGCTAAACCTCCAGTTCCCTGCCTTGGTGACCTGTCACATCCACAGCATCCCAGTAAAGGATGCCCAGGGATGCCCTCACTCAAGCCCTAGGCTCAAGCCAACGTGTATCTCCACCTGGCCCAATAGGGAGCTCAGATGCAGTAGGTCAAAACCGACCTGTTTCCTCATAACCAATTCTCCTCCCCTGTGCCTCATTCATGCAATGGGACCATCCTTATCCTGGGGTCCTTCAAGCCAGAAACCTAGGGTCACTGGTGGCTACTCTCCTTTGGCTCCTCCCCACTATCCTCATCTCTTGTAGCAGCCCAAACTCCCAGAGCCCCTACCTTTGGCATCTTGCGCAAGTTGGGTGAGAGCTTAAGACAGGTAACATGCCCACGGTCATCGCCAATGATGATGATGGGATAGATGGGGTTGAACTGCACGTGGGTGATCTTGTTCTTCTTTTTGGTCACCACCGGCTGGTTACAGATGGCCTCATACTTGTTGACAGCCAAGTCAAACACATGGGCCTGTGGAGGGGCTGGTGTCAGCACACTCAGGAGTGATAAGGCTCTTGTCCCTCACCTCACAGGAACTAGCCCTGAAATTTCTAGGGAGACTACAGAAGGCTAATGGTTAGCATACTAGAGCTGGAGGCAGTGAGAGAGGGAATTTTATTCTTTATTTATGTTTTTTTTTTGTGGTTGAGGGAGTGAGAATTTTAAAAAAATTAGAAGAAATTTTAAGTCTATACAGAATCAACAATAATAGCAGCTACTGGTCTGGGGCTGTGGCTCAGTGGCAGAGCGCTTGCCTAGCGTGAGGCACTGGGTTCAATCCTTAGCACCACATAAAAGCAAACAAATAAAATAAAGGCATGACATCCATCTATAACTACAAAAAAAATAAAAAGTAAAAAAATAAGAATAGCAGCTACCATTTATCAGACTCGGCACACATGTCGCAAGGCTGCAACATCTAATTGTGCTTCTCACAGCCACGCTATAAGGTGGTTCTGTTATCCATATTTTATAAATGAGGTGTTAGAAGCTCTTAGAGGCTAACTTACTAGTGAGTGGCAGAGCCAGGGTTTATATACCAGTTACAGATGTCAAATGCTCAGATGGTGCTTGACATACAGGTGTCCAATAAATGTTTGATGTTATCTTTGCCACAACCTAAGACCAACCCACTATCAATTCCTGCCTAAACAACTGTGGCAGTCTCCTAACTGGCCCCCTCCTTTAAAATTCTTGCCCTTCTATAATCCATCCTCCATGCAGCAGCCAGACTTCCCTTTAAAAAATTTAAAATCTTTCCAGAGTCTCCTTGGCACTATAAATAAAATCCAGATCCCTTTCTCTAGCCCCCACCTCACTCTCACTGGGCTCTCCCTGCTTTACTCACTACACACCAGCCTCACTTGCCTCCCTGTCCTTGAAACCCCTCAGCTCATTCCTACCTTAGGGTTTGTGCCAGCATTTGCTTAGGGTGATGGTTTCCCCACCCCATCTTATCATTCAACCCATCTTGTCATTCAGTTGGCTCCTTGTCATTCAGCTCTCTGCCTGAATATCACCTCTTCCAAGAAGCCTTTCCTGATCACTCAAGAAACCATACAATCCTTTTCTTCTCTCTTTTTATTATAACAGCTTTATTGATATATAATTCACATACTATAAAATTCATTCATTTAAAATATGCAATTCTTGGTTTTCAGTATATTCACAGTTATATAACCATCATCACAACTGATTTTTGGAATGTTTTCATCACCCCCCAAAAAACTTTTGTACCTAGGAGCAGTCACTCCCAATTTTCCCTAACTCCCCAATCCTGGGTAAC